GGCTCACCAATACCTAATATATATGATATCTGGATGAGATTGTGGTCTTAGAATTGATATTGGAATGGGTTAAGACTTTTGGAGATGTTAGGATGGTGTGAATGTATTTTGCACTTGAGAAGGACATGAATTTTGGGGGACAAGAGGGTAGAACTGTTATGGGTTGAATTATGTCCCTCCAAAATTCATATGTTGAAGTCCTAAACCCTAATATCTCAGAATGTGACTTTATTGGGACAGGGAGCTGTTACAGATTTAACTAAGATATGCTGGGCCTCTAATCCAATATGACTAGTGTCCTTATAGAAAGGGGAAGTTTGGATACAGGGACATGCACACAGGGAAAACACCATGTGAATATTGGAGTTATGCAGCCACAAACCAAGGAACCACCAGAAGCTAAGAGAGAGGTCTGGAACAGTTCCTCTCCTAGTGCCTTCAAAGGGAGCATGGCTCTACAGTAACAAAGTGCCACAATTGAATAAATTGAATGGCTTAGACAACAAAAATTTATTGTCTCACAATTCTGGAAAGTAGAAGTCTAAGATGAAGGTGTCCACAGGTTCATGCTTTAGGACCACAGTATTGAATATTCTTTCCTTGATTTTAACCAGGTTTATCGTTATTACTATTTTTTTTTTAATAGAAGAAACAAAAGCATCTGAAGATGAAATGGAGAAGCTCTATAAATCCTTAGAACAAGCTAGTCTATCTCCTCTTGGGGACCGACGACCTTCAACCAAAAAGGAGTTGAGGAAGTCCTTTGTTAAGCGGTGCAAAAATCCATCCATAAATGAGAAACTCCACAAAATCCGAACTTTGAATAGCACATTAAAGGTAACAAAATTTCAGATCAGATGAACTCTATGGATGTCGGTTAAAAAAAATGGTGGGTTTTGCAGAGAGATGCATGCTAATCACAGTGTGTTTGTGTGGGTAAAGTAAATAAAATCTTATAAAGGTCTTATAAGTGAGATGACTTTGGCATTCTTTTTTTTTTTGAGACAGAGTCTTACTCTGTCACCCTGGGTAGAGTACAGTGGCGTCATTTATAGCTCACTGCAACCTCTAAGTCTTGGGCTCGAGTGAGTCTCTTGCCTCAGCCTCCCGAGTAGCTGGTACTGTAGGTGCACACCATGACAACCGGCTATTTTTTCTATTTTTAGTAGAGATGGAGTCTCGCTCTTGCTCAGGCTGGTCTGGAATTCTTGAGCTCAAGCGATCCTCCCACCTTGGCCTCCCAGAGTGCTAGGATTACGAGCATGAGCCACTGCACCTGGCCACCCTTGGCATGCTTAAAGCACTAGGACATTCACGCAGTAGCACCCAAGGCAGTTTTCTACAATGGGCCTTGATTTTTACATTCACTCTGACGTAAAATTTCAAATTTTAAGCTCCTAGATGGCAAGGGTCATGTATAATTTGTTTTTGTAACCCTTGTACCTAGCACAGGACCTGGCTCAATAAATATTAATTAGAGACAGAGAGCATGAACTGGTGAGAATAAACAGTAGTAGAAATAAGATCTTGGTTTTTTTTTTTTTTGATTCATTCAAGTGTACCATTCTTCAGTATTACATCCAAAAGAAAATTTTTAAATTTCGGATATAGCAAAGACTTACTTATTGTCAGCTGTAGGCACTGCAGCTAAGGAATTCCATGAGAGCCTGGCAGGGGAAAGAAATATATACTTTGCAGTAAAAGACCAGCAGATGTTTTCACAATGGGAGTAGGGACAGTGTACAGGACGTACTGAGCTATTTTCAGGGCCTCCCATAACTGAAAGGGTTCTTCATAACAATAGCGTCTTGCTTTCACATTTAGATCACAGCATGAACAGGAGGAGGCCAGGATACTTTGTAAAATAGCCCTGAATTAGCAGAAGATTCATAGATTTTGAAAAGCCTTGGTAGATCCTGCAATTTAATTCTATTCTGTACATGGCTTTTTGCGTTAAGAATTTGAGTCCCTTTTCAGAAAGAAGCGTCAGCAGTCAAAAGTCCTTACTCAGACATCCCAGTTAGTCAGTGGAAGATCCAAGCACCCTAAAAGGCTGCAAAAATGAGGCTGGAAAGAAAAAGGAAAAGTGTATTTTGATTATACAAAGAAAATACAAATGCAGAGAAATTCCCTCATATTTAATGATGAAATCTATTCCCAGCCCTCATCCCGTAGCATGTACAGAGTTGATAAATATGTTTGGTCATTTAGTGTAATACGTCATGGTGTGTTGGGATTTTATTGTCTTATCTGTCTGTGATAGCTGATATGAGTGACTAAAGTTTTCATTGAGTAAATATTTCTTGAATCTTACTATGTACCAGGCACTATTCTAGGTCACTAGGATCATTGAATTGATTCCACTGGGCAGCAGAAAACAAAAATGTAGTTAAGATGCAATACAAGGAATACTATAGTTGATACATGTGCAGGGTGCTTTGGTGGCCCAGAGGAAGTGGCTGACTGGGGGCATTAGGGATAATGTCATGGAGCCCATGAGTAAGAAAGAGATGATGACTATCCGGAAGGGAAGAACATTCAAGGAAGTGGACTATGTTGGATGATATCAGTGGATGATAGGTCGCAGTCCATGTTGGAAGAAATGGAAAGTTAGAGACCAAGGAGAGCCTGCGCAGTTTGGGCCATTTGTAGAAGAAGAAAGACTGTGGCCTCAGGCTTTCTGTAGAGCGGCAGACTCAGGAAGCTAGACCTTCACTTGACCATACCCTGACCTGGCCCTGGGGAGCCCACGTTTGTGAAAAGAATACAAGATTTTGCCATCCCGTATGGTTCTCTGTGACCTCTTGCCCTCCATGCACTGTGGCCATGTACTTGATGAATCCAGAAGCTGTCACTCTTCTTCCAGTATGTATTAGTTATCTAGTGCTAGGTAACAAACGACCCCAACGCTTAGCAACTTCAAACAAGAAACATTTATTATTTCAGAGTCTTCGTGGGTCAGGAATCTGGGAGTGGCTCCATCAAATGCTTCTGCCTCCAGGTCTCTCACAAGGCTGTGATCAAGGTGTCAGCTGGGGCTGTTTTTGTTCCTCCACTGGTAGGGATCTGCACATACGCTCTTGTGCATGGTTGTTGGCAGGATTCGGTTCCTTGCAGGATTTGTTGGACTGAGGGTCTCAGTTGCTCTCTGGCTGCTGGCTGGAGGCTACCTGGAGTTCCTAGACTCATGGGTTTCTTCATAGAGTGGCTCACAACTTGGAAGCTGGCTTCCATCTGAGTAAGTGAGACTGAGCAAGGTGGGCTACAACCCACTTCAGTAGTGACATCACATTACTTTTGCAATATTCTGTTCAGTAGGAGCAAGTTGTTAGGTCAGCCTATTTTCAGGGAGTGTATCACACAAGGGCTTGAATACCAGGAAGCAGAGAAGGTTGGGAGCCAGCTCAGGACTGCCTACTACACCCAGCTGAAGAGCAGCTCTCTTTGTTCGTTTGTGGGAAGCAGTGCTTTCTGTAGATGCCTTAGGCCCGCACAAGTATAGTGCTGGGGTTGATGAAATGTAACAGGATCCCTGCCTCATGGTCCTATTAACCTTAGGAGGTAGGAGGACATGTTGATGGGGGAATTGGCCTTGTTGAAGGAACAAAACAAGGACAAAGCACATCAACCTATTTAATGGAAACAGATAATTTGGCACATGTATGTTTATTCATGTTGAAAGGCTATAATAATTATTTTAAACTGTTTTTAAAATTCAAAGCAGTCAAGAGAATAGTTGCCTTTGGGGAAGAGGGAGATTGTGACAGGGGAGGGGCACAAGTGAAGCTTCTGATCCCTGGGTGTGGGTCGTTTTTTGACCTCAGAGGTGGTTACAGGGATGTATTCATTTTGTGATAATTCTTCAAGCACACAATTTTCTATTAGTGCACTTTTCTCTATGTATGTTATATTGCAATAAAAATGTTTATTTAAAAAAAAAAACTTCAAAGCTTGAGTGTGGACAAGTAAAGATAACACAGTTTCATGCAGAAACAAGGAAACTGTTTTAACAATAATGTTTACATTAGCAACAGCCGTGTTCCATAAATAAAGAAAAATGCCCGCGCTGGGATTGTGCTGGAACAGATGCTCTTCAGGGAAATTCTTCTAGGAAGTCAAGCAAACTATTATGTCATATACTAAATGTAGATCTTCAGGAATTTCTGACAGCTCAGCATCCACTAACTGTTGGCTAAGCCTGTTTTTATTTAAAAATAAATGATTAATGGAATGATTAATGGGTCTGGCAGAAACTCAGAGTTACTCTGGCCTAAGTCAAAAGAGGAATGAACTCCCCCCTTCTCTAAACTGCTCTGGTAGAACACGTTTCCAATGCTTAGGTCTTAAGTCAAGCCATGTACTGAATATTTGGAGTAAAAATGGAAAGTACAGCATTTTCTCTTTCGCAATATTTTTGGAACCTCTGACAAACCTTGCTTGCCTGCCAGAAAGCCAGGCGGGCGCCGTGGAAGTAGTTCAAAGCCTTCCACAAGCCTCGCGTGACATCCAGGAGCAGCAGAGCCACTGTGTGAGGCTCTGAGACCTAGGGTGTCTGGTCTAGGAAGGACCTTGGAAGATTTTATTGTTTCTTTCACTTCTTTCCTCTGTATTCTTGTTTATAGTTTTTTTTCTTTTTTTACTTTTATCCGTAAAAGAACTAACACAGGTTTGAGCCAAATGGTAAGAAATTTAAATTGTTTAAAGCCAAAAACCATAAGAGAAGTGTTAGCTTAATGCCCAAAGTTGAAGAGACCCTTTTCTAAAAACTTTTATCATATTTAAAGAAATGGTTAATTCATTTTTGCCTTTTTAAAATCTATTTCCCAAATTTTTCTTAATCTTCAAAGATCTTAGTTTTTTCAATAAAATATTAGAATCTCCCTCTGAAGCAGATGTCTAGATTTCTTTAGAACCAAATAAAACTCTTTAAATAACTTCATATTAATAGCACTATGGTGATATCAAGGGATGAAAGCTTATTTTTGGATAAGATTTTTTTTTTTTTTTTTGAAGCATAGATATTGAGAACTCAGAGAAAAGAAATTTGGCCCTGCCTGGCTATAGACAATCCCTGTCCTCACCCACTTAACCTTCCTGTCCCCTGCTTCTGGGTCCTAGCCCAGCTGCTTGTTAGCCCTCTTTAGTTCCTTTCCTACTGTGCTATTTTTTTCTGCTTCCTGGAAGGAAGTCCTCCTGTCTTTATCATCCATCTCTCTACCTCTCTATCTTTCTATCTACCTCTCTGTCTTTCTACCTATGTCTATATAGTTTTTGTTTGTTTATGGAGGGGCTTTCCTCAGACTCTAAATTGGGTTCATAATGCAAAAGAGATTAAAAAGCAAATGGGGCCGGG